GCGCGTTTTGCGGTGGACGCGCTACTGCTATTTTCCTTTCAGCAGCGCGTTTTGCTATCACTCGCTGCTGCTAAGTAGCAGTAGCGTTGTATTTTGAGCAGCGCTGCTGGTAAGTTTCTGTGTATAGGCTTTTCCCTAGTAGTGATCATGAACAAGGAAATACAATAATAACCATTTTATTATTACCTCTAGGGCATATTTCCAACAAAGACATCTCCACTTGAATCTTAGGGCGTGTTTGGTTCGAGTTGTGAACAGTTCCTGTATCGCATACACTTCTCAACCCAGCCTGGTTGAGCAAAAACATGCCCTAATGCACCATCTACAAGTTGTTTGGTTGCCTGCATCTAGTGTCCCTATATTAGGTAATACGCAAGTGCACTTTGTTTGGTTGCCTGCATTGGTCCAAGAGGCACATGAACATGGCGTTTGGTTGCATATGGCGTACATGGTGTGCTTACCTTGTACCCTAGTTGGTGAGCTTACCCACAATGATCACACCTAGCACACCAACGCCACAACGCAACAATGGCGATGAACTGGGCGAAGATGATGAAATTCTTCAGCTTCAGCCCAAACTGACGATCCAGCTCTTAGCGCCTTCCACTTTGACACCTCCAACCTTTCCACTGTCAACAGTGCTTCCTTCATGCTTTCGCACCCAGTCGAAGTAAGCTTGTTTTGCTGCCTGCCTAGTCTTGAACCCTCTATGGCTGCTGTTGCTATACGATGCCACTTGTGCACTTCTTCCCATGAACTGTAAACCCTTGGAGCCTTATCGGTGAACACGACATACCACTTGCCCTAGCAATGCACAAGAGTAAGAGTTGAAGCGGCAAATCAATGGAGCACACAAAGTAGCAAACAAAGCAGCACACAAACAACAATGGAGTAGAAGAGAAGAAGTAAAGCATGCATGATCATCCGGCATAGCAAGTTCTACCTAGCACTACCTTGGTGTTAATCTACCAGCACATCCAAAAGAGGGTGTCGTCCTACCACCGCAAGTTCACCATCAGCATGAGGGGTTAGTATATACCAACCCACCAAAATATACAGACCATCAAATAGTTTTTCAGCCCTAGCTACACAAAATGTACGTCGTCATCGTCGTCATCGTCATTGTCGCCACGACCATCGCCGTCGGGGATCATGCACGGTCACATGCAACACTACTCTAGTAGTAGTGCTTGCCTAGCCAGCTCCTGAGCCACAGCACCCTGTGAGCGTCTGCCATGACAACGAACCCAACACCATGGGCCTTGTTGTCAAGCAGGTGGCTGAGAGTTGCCATGAGAGCCTCGTCGCTGAAGCCACCCTAGGTCATGTCAGCGCCATACATGTCAGGGTGGACGTCGAGGGGCTTGCACTCCCTGATGGTTGTTGCCACCTCCTTCACCGCCTCAGTCATGTTGCAAAAGACATTGATCTCCTCCATCAGGCCTCCTATCTTCCTCTTCCTATCATGGACGGGGTCAAATGGCTTGTCGAAGGGCTTCACAAAGGGCTTGTCAGGGCCATCAAGGACCTCGACGTCCGGGGTCCTAGGGAAGTCTGGCATGGGAGAACCAAGAGGCTCCCCCGAGCCCATGGCATGCTTCCTAGTTGCCAGCCCGAAGGAGAAGATGTGCTGCATCTGGCTGTAATTCCGTATGGGTGTGTTAAGGAACTTAGCGTCCCTTGGATGGTCCTAAAAAATGAAACACAAGTGTTGTTAGTTGCTATTAGGAGTAGGCAATGGTAGACGGTATGAGAAGGAAGAGGGATGTGAGTTAACCGCGACATGGTCGGCGTAGTGCTCTGCCTCCATAACTATGGAGCAAGTGTTCTCATCCTATGAGGCGCCGCTAAGGTCTCTCAGCTTGGACACTTGGATCCATCGACCTCTCCACTTTCTCATGTGGTTGTACACCTGGGCGGCAGACACCTCCTGCCCACAGAACTTGAACACCTGCTTTGCAACAGTGTTCAAGTGCACCTCCTTGAAGCCCTTGTCAGTCATAACTCCACTAGAGATGAGCTCACACATCTTGTTCAGCACGAACGTGGACATGAACGGCTTCCACTTCATGTTGTTCGACCTACCATCCCTTTTTGCCTTTGCTGTTGCTACCTTCAGTGCAGCGGCAACATGAGTTGGCTCAACGAGCACTACTAGCACATAGAGGGAATCAGACGCGAACACCTCTAAATCAGGTGCCATCTCGGACATAGGCTGCGAGTCCTCGACAAACGATGGAGCAAATTGGCTGTCGGATAGGACAAGGGCCTGACTAAGATCTTGCGTCTGCGTGGTCATGTCCTACAATCATAGCACGCATTGACAGTAAGCATAGCACACAACATACCAGACAATCCATGAAAGCAGGAGCATACATGTACATGGTTCATCACCATCATAGCAAGCACATGCTTCATCACTATCATACTAAGCACATGGTTCATCGCTATCATACTAAGCATACCGGGACAATCTATGAACACGAACATACATCTACTACAAAAGCTCATGCTACAAAATGGACCACCAATAGCTACAACTCACAAATCTAAGCACGAATCAACGCAAGCACAAGGTTCAACTTCAAACTCTACTACTAATCTGGCCCACCACATGCTTGGACATATAGCCCTACCACAAATTGCAACCGTAACATAGCAATCAACCATATGAGCTCACAGAACAGACCACTAATCAACCATGCATCTAGATCAAACCCTAGCTACGGCTCAGATCTAGCTACAAGGAACAGAGAGAAAGGGGGATTGAACTCACAGAGCCCATGGCTGCAGCTCGAGGACAAGAGGGGACGGTCGTAGAAGATCACCGCCGTCCGGTGAAGGAGCGCCGACGCCGTGGACCGCCGACCGATGAAGATGCCCCGCTTACCTGCTCGTCGATGCCGATGCGCGTCGGCGGGAAAGCTCGAAGGGAGGAAGAATGGTGGCGGGAGTTGGGGCGATGAAGGAGGGGGCTAAATAGGGGTGGACTCGGCGGGAGGTGAGCCGAAATCCTCCCGCCGGTTTTTCGGCGACGCGGGCGAGCTCGCGCCATCTCCCTGGTCGCACGAGGAGAGAAGCGCGTCGCCCTCCCCTGCCTCGCCCGAGCCAGGCTCGCGAGCTACTGCCGATTCGGGCGTTTCCTCTGGGCCTGGCCTGGACGTGCTTTAAGTTCCATGCCATGCGGGCCGCACAACACAGGCAACCAAACGGGCCAAGTTCTTTCCGCGCGGGCCAGGCTGGGCCATATGCAGGCAACCAAACACGCCCTTATAGGATTAGAGAGTGTTTGATGCCACAAGAAAAGCAAAGCAACCATAAAAAAGGAGGTTTGAGTGTGGAAATTTTTATTCAAAATGGAGTGCAAAGCAGCTGTCTAAGATTTCCCTAAGGATTCCAATCCTACAAATCAAACAGACAATATAGGAAAAATTGAATCCTCTAGGGATCAAAGGAATCCTAAGACACACAAAGACTGAAAGGTCAAAGTGTGTCATTTGACAAAACACAGTGATGGTCCTATCATGGGTATGATGAGCTGCCACCTTCAAAAGACAAAGGCTGTATCTAGCCACTCACAGGTAGAGTAGTGTGCACACTCAACAGATTTCACTTGGCTGCAGTCCAAGTCCTTGGTTGCAAGAAATCAATTGCAGTATGAGTATGTACCACCAGCTTTGCTGCGAAATTTACTTACACCCTGCAAAAAAGCATGCCACTGAAACTCTGAAAGTGTGCTGTGTGTTTCTCTGCTTCAGTTCTAGGAGGCTTGCACATGTCAGTGGGGTTCTAGCTTCTTAGGCTACATACATACATACATACATGTGTGTTCCCTTCTGTATGAACAATGGAACCGAGAATGAATGAGGCGCTGCCTAGCCATTCGAGGTCAGCAGGTCCAAGTAGACGTCGAACCCCTGCGTGGACACGCTCCGCTTCAGCTTGTCCAGCGCCCGGTTCTGGAGCTGCCGGATCCGCTCCTTGGACAGGCCGTACATGTCCCCGATCACGTGGAGCGTCTTGGGCTCACCGTCGTAGATCCCGAACCGGTGCTCGATGATCTCCTTCTCCCTCGTGGTCAGGACGCCCAGGAACTCCCGCACCTGCTGCCTCATCATTATCCTGTCCACCACCAGGTCCGGTGGATCGATGTTCGGGTCCTCCGTGATCTCCTACGGCGTTCATAAATTATTACAGCTCAGCTTTTGTTTATTTGACCGGCGAAAAGATCACAGCTCAATCGATTCAGTCCTGGAACAATCTACAGTATGTTCTATACATAGTGTTTTGTTCACTGGTGTGTTGCAAAGATCATTGGGAATGAATGCTAGTACCTGGAAGGTGACTGCGTCGTTGGACCAAACTTGATCCTGCATTGATCGTGGCTTTCTGGTCTTTGCTTTGAGTTTCGCCAGCTTCTCGATCGTGATGCCGGCACGCCTAGCTACATTTTGGTTAGTAGGCTGCTCCCCTTCCAAGATGCACTCCAGCCTTGCTTTCCCCACCTTTTTCAGACGTGCATACACACTCTCCTGCACAAGAAAACAATGTCACACCATTACATTGGAAAATCTATAATTTTTAGGAATTAGTCATGCCAAAATAAAATGAACCTGTCCCCTCTGAAACATGGATTGTAGGACTAGAAGATCAAGGTGAACTGAGTTCAGGTCATACCGGCAACCGAATCAGTCTCGAATGCTTGAAGATAGACTTTTTGATTGCTTGGCGTATCCACCAGTACGCATACGTCGGGAACCTGCATCCCTTGCTTGGATTGAATTTCTCGAAGGTCTTCATCAACCCACAGCATCCGTCCTGGAAGCAAGAACAGGAAAGAAACATTTACAACGACAGGATATCCCTGGTTTTGCAGCCATGAGTTGATCCTCCTTTCCGGAAAAGAAAAGAAAAATGTAAAGAGTAAAATTAACCTGAACTAGGTCCTCGATGTCAAGGCCATATCCCTGGTATTTCCTAGCTACGTGTATCACAAGGCGGAAGTTGGAGCGGGCCATCTTCTCCCTGCAGCGCCTTCCGATGTGTATGGACGACTGCAGCTCCTTGCAGCTCATTCCCACGGCCTGAGCCCACTCGGGAAGCGTCGGCTCGCGGCCACACTGCGCTTCTAGCCTACGCTGAGCCTCCTCCAGTTTCATAAGATTCTGTGCATGGAAAGTCATCGTATCTTCGTATTAGCAAAGCTGAACTATCTTTTGATCTGGGCATCAAGGACACAAGGATACAATGTTACAAGGTGTTGTACAAGGAAAAAAGAACATGCCTGTATCTGGCTGAACAAGTGTCTCTCTTCCTTTGCCGTCAAGAACTCTGTCGTCTCGCGGTCTCGTAGGAACAACCTGAAGGGTTCATCTGGACCGAGAACCCTGCCATACTTCTTTGGCTTCTCTTTCTTCTTTGAATCAGCAACACTGCACTGCACAACATCAGTACTGCTTGTTGATGCCTGAGGAACATTCCGCTTCTTGGATCTTCTCTCAAGCAACCGTGTAGACCGAATAAACACTTGCCCATTGCTCAGCAGCTTCTCGTACGGGTGGGTCGACTCCACACTGGTTGCAAGCGTTACTGGTGGTACATTCAGCTGGGTGGTTGAAGGTCTTGATCCATCTGCCAAAAAGGCCACCTCCTTCATCAAGGTCACCGAGGTTGCGCCGAGATCCAAAGTTGGAACTGATTTTGCCGATGGCGTTGAAGTTGAAGTGATTGCAGAGGTGAAGTTGTTCTTTTCACTGCCAATCAAATGTGATTCAGTTAATGTCAGAATAAGCAGCAAACCAATCAATTTGCGCAAGTAAGCAGAAACAGGGACTTTGATTACCCAAAGGCCTGCTGGTAAATGACTTGCCGCTGCAGGCCTCGCAGATAGCTCTCGAACTCGCCCTCTGCCCCCTCTTCGGCTTTGAAAGTCTTCCCTTCCGTGTGCTGCTCCAAGGCCTTAATTAGTTGAGACAGACAAGACAGAATTTATTAGCACTAGCAATGGGACAGAGTCCAGTGTAGAAGTATTCATTTACTATTTATTTAAATGAAGAGAATGGTGTTTCTATATTTTTAGCCATCAGGAGCTCTTGACCACACATGAAAGGAGGAACCAACCATGTCCAGCAGGAACTCCAGCAAGGCCTTCTCGCCCTTCAAAGACACGGAGCCATGGGCCTGCTCCTCGGCCACGAGCGAGGGCGAGTAGTGGCACGCCGTGGATGCTCTGCCGCCGGTGCTGTCGTGTATCATCGGAACTGCACAAAAACAGATGAGCCTCAGGCCTAGGCCAACAGATACCAGAAAGAAAGGAGAGGCGAGGAAAGTTTGTAGCAGTAAGATACCCAGTACTGAAGATACCTGATGCGCGGGAGGGGGATGGGGAGGAGGCGGCGCCCCTGAAGTTTGGAGATGAGGTGGGGAAGAGCGGCGACGAGAGCAAGCTCCGGCTGGAATTCATGTCCGGGGAAGAAGAAGAAGAAGAAGAAGAAGAAGAAGAAGAAGAAGAAGAAGCAGCAGCTCACAGGTGAGCAGAGCTTGGTGTCTGTCTGGTTCAGTGTCCTCCTCCTCCTCCTCCTGTCCTATCCGTTTTCATCAGAGGTGTTTTGATTGGTGAGGGAGATGGTGTTCACTAGATGAGGGATCAGCGATGATGATTCCCTCTCCCTCTTTACCACCTACCTAGAGGCTAGACTACTTCCCATGCTCCTACTCCAGCTGAGCAGAGCAGTGAGCAACAGCGGCCGATTGATTGAGTGATATGGTTATGGAGGGAGGGGAGAGGAGTGGAGGCTGCTGTAGCGAGCGAGCGAGCGAGAGAGGATAAGGCGCGCAACCAGCACCATGGATTTTGCTGCCAAGCCGGACCCGCAGATCCACACGTGTGCAAATCGCTTGATTTCCTTGTAGTGATTATCCTCAAAATAGCAACTTTTTTACTTTACCTGAATGAAGGTTGGATCCGCCGGCGGCGGGATGCGCCTCGCCGGGCTCGCGGTCCCGGTCGTCCAACCGGTGGCGACCTCGACCTCGGTGGAGCTCGAGGTGGGCATTCCGCCGAACACCCTGCGGGCACGCAACGCTGGTCGACGAGATTACGGCCTGAGCTGACCGATTCTTGGCTCTTTAATAATGCAGCCCGGAGCGCTGCCCGCGAGCCAGTCGCTGAGGTTCACGCCGCCGATGCACGCCGGCGACGAGGCCGTCGCGGAGGCGCGCAGCAGTGTGGACCACCGGCGGCGCAAGGAACTTCTTTGCTTTTTTTTTTTCCTTTTTTGAGGTAACCCTTCTTCTTTGCTTTGCGGCGCAAGGAACTTATTCGTTTGGGGTGAAACGGATAGATTCAGCGGTCCAAAACGAATCTTGAATTAATAGATGAAACATAAATTGAACCCTCAACTTTGAATTCCGGAAATTGACATTCTAAACTTATCAATCCCGGTCTATTTTGGACCCAGACCTATTTGGGGCACCGGGAATATAACAATTCGGCCAGATAAGGTACTACTCTCACTGACGAGTATTTGGGCCGCCTCACTACTTGCATTTTTGAAAAATGAAAAAATGTTCGTGTTTTAAAATTGTGTATTTTTTAAATGTTCTTCCTTTCAATCATAAAGAAATTCGTGCATTTAAAAAATATACAGTAATTTATTTATTTTCCTGTTTTGTATTTTCTGTCACAATTTTTTTTAAATAGTGTTTTTCGAAAATTGTTCAGAATTTTTTAAAAAATAGAGCGCAGATATTTTGCGACATCGTGAGCAAAAAATTTAAACTATAAGATTTTTTCAATCTTGAACTGTTTTCCAAATTTTGAACATTTCAAAACGTGAACATTTTCTGAAAGATGGAAAAAATAATAAAACCTAGGAGGAACCGTAGCAAACATTTTTTGAACAACTAGGAGGTACTGTAGCAGAAAATATTGAAGACATGCTGCCCTAAACAATTTCTTGTACTGTGAACATTGTTTAAAATTTCTGAATAGTTTTTCAAAAAATTGATTGTATTAAAACACAATCAATTTTTAAAAAGAGAACACTATTTCGGACTTAAATATTTTAAAATAAAAACTGGTACAAATTCTGAAACCTCAACATTTTTTTCAAGTTTGTACAATGTAAAAAAATGTTATTGTCATTAAGTAAATGTAAAACGTGTAGTTTGCAAAATGTTGTTGTGTCACATTGTTCAAAAAATGTTTTTTGAATTTCGTAAATTATTTGCTTTTAAAAAATATTCTGTATTTCAAACTGTTCACGTTTTTTCCAAGAAATGTTTCGTAATTTTTCAAAAAACAAATCATATATGAACGATACTCTCTGTTCTTATAAGTAATGTGCTATGTCAGATCAATTGCATCCTTCAGTTGCGTTGGCTAGCTGCGGCCGCCACTAGCCCAAGCAACTGCGTTGATGGGCTGGCCCGATTTATCCTAGTATCCAGCAAGTCAGTCAAGTATCTTTTTCAAAAAAAAAAAGACAGTCAAGTATCCTTGCCACATCAGCGAGTATAGCCGCTAAACACCTTCAAGGTTTAAAATAGACCGAGATCAGAGAGTTTGGTGTGCTGATTTCTGGGATTACAAGTTCAGGGTTTGATTTAGCTTTCCTCTACAAATTCAAGGTTTATTTTGAACTTTTTTCCGCTTGGGAGCAAACTCAAATTGTAGTTCAAACGGACATAAACTAGTCGCATATTTGGGCCGGATTTGATCCAGATGGACACTGGACGAACACGCATGCGTCGCCTCGTCGTCTGTCTACGGGCCTGCGTGTCGGCCCCTGATACGTCTCCGTCGCATCTACTTTTCCAAACGCTTTTGCCTTTGTTTTGAACTCTAACTTTCATGATTTGAATGAAACTAACCCGGACTGACGCTGTTTTCAGCTGGCATGGTGTTATTTTTGTGCAAAAATAAAAGTTCTCAGAATGACCTGAAAATCCACGGAGCAACTTTTTTGAATTAATAAAAATACTGGCGAAAGAATCAGCACCAGGGGGGCCACACCCTGTCCACGAGGGTGGGGGGCGCCCCCCCCCTAGGGCGCGCCCCCTGCCTCGTGGGCCCCATGAAGCTCCACCGGCCTCAACTCCAACTCCATATATTCACGTTCGGGGAGAAAAAAAATCAGAGAGAAAGATTCATCGCATTTTACGATACGGAGCCGCCGCCAAGTCCTAAACTGTCTCGGGAGGGCTGATCTGGAGTCCGTTCGGGGCTCCGAAGAGGGGAATCCGTCGCCGTCATCATCATCAACCATCCTCCATCACCAATTTCATGATGCTCACCGTCGTGCGTGAGTAATTCCATCGTAGGCTTGCTGGACGGTGATGAGTTGGATGAGATTTACCATGTAATCGAGTTAGTTTCGTTAGAGTTTGATCCCTAGTATCCACTATGTTCTGACATTGATGTTGCTATGACTTTGCTATGCTTAATGCTTGTCACTAGGGCCCGAGTGCCATGATTTCAGATCTAAACCTATTATGTTTTCATGAATATATGTGAGTTCTTGATCCTATCTTGCAAGTCTATAGTTACCTATTATGTGTTATGATCCGACAACCCCGAATTGACAATAATCGGGACCACTCTCGGTGATGACCGTAGTTTGAGGAGTTCATGTATTCACTAAGTGTTAATGCTTTGGTCCGGTACTCTATTAAAAGGAGGCCTTAATATCCCTTAGTTTCCAATAGGACCCCGCTGCCACGGGAGGGTAGGACAAAACATGTCATGCAAGTTCTTTTTCATAAGCACGTATGACTATATTCGGAATACATGCCTACATTATATTGATGAACTGGAGCTAGTTCTGTGTCACCCTATGTTATAGCTATTACATGAGGAATCGCATCCGACATAAGTATACATCACTGATCCAATGCCTACGAGCTTTTCACATATTGCTCTTTGCTTAGTTACTTTGCCGTTGCCACTGTTACAATTACTACAAAACTGCTACTGTTTCTTTTTCTACTGTTACCATTACTTCCATACTACTCTGCTACTTTTTCTACTGTTACCGTTACTTCCATACTACTTTGCTACTAAATACTTTGCTGCAGATATTAATTTATCCAGGTGTGGTTGAATTGACAACTCAACTGCTAATACTTGAGAATATTCTTTGGCTCCCCTTGTGTCGAATCAATAAATTTGGGTTGAATACTCTACCCTCGAAAACTATTGTGATCCCCTATACTTGTGGGTTATCAAGACTATTTTCTGGCGCCGTTGCCGGAGAGCATAGCTTTATACTTTGAGTCACTTGGGATTTATATCTGCTGGTCACTATGAGGAACTTGAAAGACGAAAGAACTAAGATTTATCCCTCAACTACGAGGGGAGGTAAGGAACTGCCATCTAGCTCTGCACTTGATTCTCCTTCTGTTTTCAGTAAGCTTGCGATACCTAAACCTGCTTCTACTATTAATTCTGATATGTCGCATGTTATTGATGATGCCACTTCTACTATGCATGATACTTATGCTGAAACTACTTCTATGCTTGATACTACTGTGTCATTAGATGAATTTCTTGATGAACAACTTGCTAGGGCTAGAGAGAATGAAATTCTTGAAACTGATAGTATTGATGAAAGTAATGATGAAGATTCTCCCCCTAAATATGAATTACCTGTTGTGCCTGAGGGTTATGTTATGGATGAAGAAATTGCTAGAGATTTTCTTGCTTGCAATGATAGATCTGATCTTAAGAAGTTATTAGCTAAGCTGAAACAAAAGTCTCTGAATGCTAGAATGAAACGACCCTGCTTTTGCTACTTCACCTATCTGTGTTACTGATAATGATTATGATTTCTCTCTCGATCCTGAGATAATTACTTTGGTTGAATCTGATCCTTTTTATGGCTATGAATCTGAAATTGTTGTGGCACATCTTACTAAATCGAATGATATAGCCACCCTATTCACTAATGATGAGAAAACTCGCTACTACTATATCCTTAAGATATTTCCATTCTCATTAAAGGGTGATGCTAAAACTTGGTTTAATTCTCTTGATCCTGGTTGTGTGCGTAGTCCCCAGGATATGGTTTATTACTTCTTTGTTAAATATTTCCCCGCTCATAAGAAACAAGTGACCTTAAGGGAAATATATAATTTTGTGCAAATTGAAGAAAAGAGTTTCCCACAAGCTTGGGGGAGGCTTCTCCGATTACTTAATGCTTTGCCTGATCATCCTCTCAAGGAAAATGAAATACTTGATATCTTTTATAATGGACTAACCGATGCTTCCAGAGACCACCTGGATAGTTGTGCTGGTTATGTTTTCAGGGAAAGAACTGTTGATCAAGCTGAATTGCTATTGAATAATATGTTGACTAATGAAAATAATTGGACACTTCCTGAACCAACTCCTAAGCCAACTCCGAAGAAAAGAGGTGTTCTATTTCTCAGTCCAGAAGATATGCAAGAGGCAAAGAAATCTATGAAAGAAAAAGGTATTAAAGCCGAAGATGTTAAGAATCTATCAAAGCTGAAGATATGCAAGAGGCAAAGAAATCGATGATCGGCAAGCCATAGAAAATAAATGGATCTTCAAGAAGAAGACCGACGCTAACGGTAATGTTACTGTCTACAAAGCTCGACTTGTTGCGAAAGGTTTTCGACAAGTTCAAGGAGTTGACTACGATGAGACTTTCTCACCTGTAGCAATGCTTAAGTCTGTCCGAATCATATTAGCAATTGTTGCATTTTATGATTATGAAATTTGGCAAATGGATGTCAAAACTGCATTCCTGAATGGATTTCTAGAAGAAGAGTTGTATATGATGCAAGGTTTTGTCGATCCAAAGGGTGCTAACAAAGTGTGCAAGCTCCAGCGATCCATTTATGAACTGGTGCAAGCCTCTCGGAGTTGAAATAAATGCTTTGATAGTATGATCAAAGCATATGGTTTTACATAGACTTTTGGAGAAGCATGTATTTACAAGAAAGTGAGTGGGAGCTCTATAGAATTTCTGATATTATATGTGGATGACATATTGTTGATTGGAAATGATATAGAATTTCTGGATAGCAT